TTCTTTATTTCTAAATTGCTTTTCATGCATTCATTCGTTTATTTGTTTATTGCAGGTGTGTTTTTACCATTTACTTGCAAACTTTGATGGTTGTTACTTCTATTGCACTAGTTGGCGACTATTTCAGATCACTGACTGCTTCTGATACAATTAATTTATTAAGCAGTAATTATCATTTATCATAGTTATGCTATGACGTAGTATTTAATAGTTGCGTGGATTACTTGATTTTGTTGCAAGTGATGAAAAGTTAGTTTTCAGCAAATATTAATGCTAGAATAGTACCGCGAGGCAGTTTGTTATCTTATTATGAATATTAACGAAGCGTTTGTAATACTTGATTTAAAATCAGACCGGTTATCGCATTTGTTGTGTAATTTTATTATTATTATTATTATTGTATATTTACTCGTTGATTTCTTAGATTTATTATTATACATTTATCAAATTTAATTTTTATCTAAATTGCTTCATAATGATTGCAATTAATAAAAGCTTTAAATACTGAAAGCTAAATAATAATAGTAATGATAATAATAATAATAGTTACCATAACTGCAATAATAATTTTTATAGTAGTAGTAAAAATTTGATAATGGTGGCAATAAGAGTTATTTTGGATGCACTGCTCAATTCTTTCCAAATGATTGGCAGTTCTCAGCAGACTATACGTATCGAGCCGCTGCAAGATGAGTTATTGATCATCCCGCAGGTTACAAGTCTTCTTAAAACGCCTCTCCGGTAAATCAGGTTATCGAGCAGTTAAACTTCCGCTATACAGCCATCTATGTCATTCCATCACTTTTTTCGTCCTCTATGAAGAGTTGACTTTATTGCATTGTAGGGTTTTTGATATTATTTTAATTTTACAGTTATTAACTTTGTTCTTTACTATAAAATTATCTATTGATTTATTACACAGTAACCAATTTTATTATATAATGTAATTTAAGTATTATCATACTGTACGTTAATATCTTTATCACTGAAGTAAATTGTATTTGTATTTTATAATTTTGAAAAATAGTTGTAGAGAGCACGGAGTGTATACGAACCAACTCCTGATTTGTAGTAAAAAATGTTCCTTCTATTTTTCTAGAAAATATTGAAGGCTATAAAATGCTAATAATAATAATAATAATAATAATAATATTTTACAGTATATAAAACGAAATATGCTGCAGATATAAAAATTGAAAGATAGAAAAATAAAATTTATTTAATATTTGTAAATAATCGGAAATAACAGCGCTACGTATTACTGTCTGCGGTATCGGTGAAAATTATAAAACAAATACTTTCATAGTGATGAGGATCAACGTAATCTGATAGCATAATGATGATGGATACGGTGCATACCACAATGTTACCATAATTCCCAGCAGCCTCCACTTCAATCATTACAAAAATATTTCTGAATTTATAACTTGTTAGCATTTATGCTGTCAACAAATTATCGATACAGCTTATTGAGTTTCAGAGGCTTCATTAGTATATACAAAAATTAAAAGCGATCACAAAAATTTGACAGTTGATCGGACATGATAAAATAAACAGCAAATATAAATAGACGATATTTTATGCTACATAATAATAAACAGATGAATAAACATACTGCATCATCTGAGCGTTAGAAAGAATCCTTGAAGTGTAATTACAATGTATACAAACTATACAAACTATACTCATAATTCTTATTACGGTAGATATTTGATATCATTATCATCAGAACAAAATATTAGCCACCGTAAATAATTATTCACCTAAATTGATATTATAGTATTATATTTTCTTCTCATCAATTTCTAAATATAATTGTATTGCAAATCTTTATGACGTAATTTTACAACGTTTTTTTACTACACTTTAATGAATTATTCTAAACTTGAGTACTTAATTTAATTAATTATTTTAAAATTGAGTACTTATTTGAATCAATTATTTTGAACTTGAGTATTTATTTTAATTAATACCCATTCATGCCCTCAACATATAATTAAATTGTTGTTATCGGTATTTAATGAAATTATAAAATTTTTAATTTTTAACTTAAAAAAAATTGGATGAAATGCGTCCCTCTCACTAAAATGCTATATCTCCACTGTGTACTCAGTGCTGAGTTCGAGACCATTGCTATTGCAATCTTTGAATTATTTATTATAAATTAATTCAGAATTGAGAATTAGAAATTGCAGTTGGGAATAAAAACGTGCTAACACTAATTAGACCAAGGTGTCTGGGAAATTTTTTGCAAAAATCAATAACTTTTGGAATTAATTTTTGGGTCAATGTTCGCGAATACATTCTTTCTTTTTCTCATCTTCGCTTCACTCCCTCTTTTTTTGTTCTCTTTTCGCATTTTACTCTCAATATCGTACTCTCTTCGTATTTCACGTTCTCTCTTCCTTTGCTCTCTGTCTTCTCCTGTCTGCAATAAGCAAAAGAAATGAAGGTCATTGAAAGAAGGGGTTAAAATGAATAATAAATGACCTAGAAAACTTTTTCATCCTTATTTCTTCAATTATCACTATCATCATCATTTTTGCGTTGTTACACTAATGATATTAATGATAATAATAATAATTACTATCATTGTTAATTATTATTATTGTTATTAATATTATTAAAGAAAAGAGTTAATGGGTAACTATTACTATTATTACTATTATTATTATTATTATTATTATTGTTATTATTACTGCAGTTATTGTAGCTATGAATAAATAAATTTTATCAACATTTTCCCGTTTAATAATTATAATTTGTTAACGATGGTATTGTTATCATCATCATTCCTAATTATTACTGGAATTTATTGGTGCAGTTTTGACGTGTAATTGATTTAATTTAAAAATGTTTTAAATTTCGTTTTTATTACTTTTCAGTTTAAAAAATTTGAAATATTCTGTTACTTCATAATATTGTTTGTATTTGCTAAAGTTAGATTCATTTCCTTCTTGTACTTGAGGTGATTACACATATAATTAAGTCAGTTCAAAGTTGATAACATTAATGAGAATGCTAAATGAAATAGAGAATTGAATATCCTGAAGTATTACTTTTCAAAAATTGGTATTCTCTATTAGAAGTCGAATTCAGCTCAGAATTTTAATGTACAGAAGGAGTGTGAGGGACTGAATATGCAGCAGTGTTAAGCAGAAAACTAATACGTTAGTAAATAATTACTTCAGATAATTACTAGCTTGTTTTAAGTTAGCATTATAAATAATAATAGTAGTATACTGACTGACTAAACTCTCTAGCCAAGGTTTGAATAGTTTTTCCGTAAGAAACAGATATTTTATATTATAGGTCGAATTAAGTCTAGGATTCTACTTCTTTAGAAGTATAGTAAATCATATTCCAAAAACTAAATAACAAGTATTAGAATTATTATAAAACCTTGTTATTACTCTATAAATGTCTAGTATTACTTAAGTAAATTCATTACTTTTTCTAATGATATTATTCGTCTCAAGTCTATATCATTACTACACGGGAGGGATGGATTTCATTGTGTGCCTTGTTGAATATTGTGATATATCCATAATTTTTTTAATAGGTCAAATTATTAATATTGTCAACTTTAGGTTAAAGTTAGTATATTAGCTGGTTACTTACTCTCTTTCTCATTTCAGTACTTGTCAGATAATTTTCAAGCTTAAAATAGATTAAAATCTCCAGCTAAGTTTATCAACGAGATCAACTCAGAAGCGCATTGAAGATTAAATGAATTAAAATGTGTTCTTTGCTATCATCAAAATAAATCAGTTCACGTTTTCTGCAAAATAAATATAAGTTTTAAATTGCATGCGATAAAATGATTCTCTCATATAAATTCATTCTTCAAATTCGCATATTTCAATCGCAAGGTCATTACGAGTTACTACGCATGGAATTTTTGTTAATATGTCTATTGAATATTTCATTTATTTTACATACTTTAAGGAAGACTGTTGAATTCATTTAAACTTCTTACGGTTAGTCTCGAATCAGATAAATTATTGAATATGTACCCGCAAGTACTATGCACTGTAAGAGATTTGTCTGCATAGATTATGCTCAGAATCTTGTTTATTTTGCGTTTGTATATTAAAACTTTTGTGTATTCATCTTTATAAACAAATGCTTAATTTTTGTTGCAAACAAACTTCAGAATTATTAAATTCCGCATTGTTTTTATCGTTTATTAAGTTAATGTTGTTTTATTAAAACAATCACTCGTTGGTATTTTAATATTACAAGGCATAGCTATGGTAGTAATGGAACTTCAGAAATTATTTGTTGTGTATTTTCCGTCATTTTGTTGTGTTAATTTAATGATTATGATCGTGTTAATAATGTTAAATCACAAGATTCATGGTTTGTTTTTTCATGTAACTGGTATTTTTTATACATAAGTGACGTTATATTCCGCAAAAAAAATAAATTTCGTTTATTTTTTATTTACAGTTCGAAAAAATGTTGTTGGGAGAGGCTATAGTATTAGTGGTTTTTGGTGTAATTTCGATATCTGCTGACAAAAATTTAATCACTTTGAATGAGGAATCGTGGACCGAAATATTAAGTGGTGAATGGATGATTGAATTGTAAGCACTTTTTGTATATAAAATTAGTACAACATTTCCTGTATCTTCTAATAGTCTTTTGGTATTTCAATTTATTTTGCAAAAAATAAGTAAATAATAGTATCAATTTCTTTTCGATAAATTGTTTTCTTAATTCATTCGGTATCGTTATCAGGAGCCAAAATATGATGCACACTTTTTTAAGCCTAGAATTTTAACATGTTTGGTAAACCAAATAAATGTTGTACAATTTTAGTCATGCTCCTTGGTGCCCTGCTTGTAAGGATCTTCAGAAAGCATGGCAAGCATTTGCTGATTGGAGTAAATACCTTGACATAAAAGTTGCTGAAGTTGATGTTACCGTAAATCCAGGATTATCTGGTCGTTTTCTTGTTACAGCTCTTCCAACTATTTATCAGTTAGTGAGATCTTGTTTTTTTGTACTCAGACTGAGACGAAATTATTACTATCAAGCATGCACCAAAGATCTTATTTCATTTCTGCAACAGAAATAAAATAATTTAATTGTTTGTTTCATTAAATTTCACTGATTTCTTTTAGTTTAAATTATTCATTTTGACTAAAAAATTTTATATTCTTTTGAAGTTGAGAGAAATTACTCGCAAAAATAAAGAATTTTAGTGTGAAAGACGGTGTATTCCGTGCCTACTCAGGAGCTCGAGATAAAAATGATTTTATTACTTTTATCGAAGAAAAGAAATGGGCATTTTATGATCCCATACCAAGCTACAAGCATCCAAGTTCTGTACAGTAAGTTTTCTCCTATTTTATCCTAGTAACTTAATCAATTTTTAAAGTGATTTAAGGTGTAATTTGCAAGTGATGAAAGAAGGGATATACCACTCTCGAGCTTAATATTTCCAAGTTTTGATAGGTTACATATTAAATATTCATTTCAGGATGTCAATAGTTGCATGGTTCTTTAAATTATCTATGTTCGTGCGTGACAAGCACAACTATTTAGTTGATGAAGGTTTCATTTTCTTTCAACTTTCGTTTTTTTGATACTAGAGTTGCAAATTTAAGTCGATGGCCATCATTATCTGCAAATTCAGACTTCATTATGTTTTTTGCTCTTTGTTCATAATACTGCCAGAAAGCCTTGTTTATATTGGTGATTGTATTTACTAGTAGCGTTTTTGGAATTAAAATTGATTATGTATAAAGCGTTATTGAATAAAAAGTAGTGCAGAGAATGATGATAGATCGTTCTATTTAATGTTAATTCAATTTAAATTTAAGAAGGATAAATTTACAAGAAGATTTGCTTCAATATAATTTTTCAGTAGGATTACCGTCGTGGGCATCGTACTGTATGTTTGCTGGTATTACATTGGCTTTAGGCTGCGTACTTGGCTTTTTTATTGTATGCATTATTGATCGAGTTTTTCCTACTGGTCATAATCAGCTTCCGAAATTAGAAAAAAAGCCGAAGAAAGATCAGAGAAACAAAGCTAAAAAGGTTATCTTTGAATGTTTTGTTGGACCTTTAAGTTTAAAATGATCACATATTTGTTAAAAATAAGCTTAGTGAAGTGATTATTTATATTCATGGTTCATTGTAAAAACGAAAATTGGTATTTGAATAGACATATTTATACTTATTAGAGAAAGTATAATTTTTTATCACTGAAGGAATAATTGTCGGTTAAAGGAAAGTGTAGATCACAGAGTGTAGACATGACTACTTAGAAATGAGACCGCCGCTAAACTGTAAAGAAATTACTTTAGTTGTACAAATGATTAATAACGATTTTAATAATAAAGTACTTACCAAGTGTTCCATTATTTTTTCATACGTAATAGAAAAAATGATTGAAAAGGAGAAGAGAAGTACATAATGAATTCTTTTATCGTTAAATTTTTAATTTAACTTCGTTAATACGTAAGAATTATTGATTAATACATGTTTGGAACTTTGAGAATAATTATAAGGCTAAAAAATGAATTAGTCATTTGTTCCATGATTGGTGACATGCTTTTGATAGTAATAGATGCATGTTCTTCTGATATATTTGGTTATTAAATGATCTCTAATACCAAGTGTATGTAGTTAGAGTATAAGCATTTTAATATTGTAGGATGAGGGGAAGAAGAAGGATGATGATCAGTCGCAGGATGATAGGAATTCTCAAGAGGGTTTGCATTCCTTTTAATTATTCAATCGTTTTTGTTGGTTGTTTTTTATTTTGAGAAAATAAATTAAACATCTGGTTGCTAGAGTGATCTTGCCTTAGTAGTTCTATTTAGAGGCAATTCTTTCATTTTGCAGCAATCTTGAAACACTCAAAAATGCTGCAGAATCTTTCTTATACTTTTTTGCAATACTAAGTACTGATTAAATGACAAGGTATGAAGAAAAGTCTAACAGTGATGATGATATTAAAAAGGTTATAAGAATTTTAACGGAGCATTTTTTTCCTCATAATCTAAATTGTAGTTAGCAGATAAAAATTTTAGAAGAGTCAACAGATGAAAATATGCGAAATAGAAAAGGGACTGCCAAAAATGAAGCGAAGAAGAAGAAATAAAATGCTGTATGGTCAAATGCAAATGAAGATCAGTTTTCGTTTGGGCTACCTTTCTTTTAGAAAGTTAGATTAATATTAATATGTATACGCATAAAAGTGAATGATTTGCGTATTTCGTTCATACACATTAACTTTCCTCTTGCGACAGTTAATTTTATTCTTCGAAAGCGTTGATTGCTTCACTCATGTATCACTTTATCTTATTATTTTATGAGTCTTTATGCTGTTTGGGGTCCATATTATATCCAATTTCCAATTACTGGTTTTATTTATTGTTATCGATATTTTGAATTGTTAGATGTTTGATTATCTATCATTAATACTCCATTTATTATGCAAATCACTAGTTTCGTTGTAAATCAATAGAAAAGTACAATTTTTTACATTAGTAATGGAATTGGACTTCGTAAAAGTTATCGAAAAATTTTCTCTTTGTGATGCAAAAGCATTTATGTAATTTAGATTACGATTTTTGAATTATTCAGATAATTATTGAGTATCAAGTTAGATTATAAATAACATAATAATAAGGTGATTTAAGAGCATTAGAGCATTGTGGTCATTTATTTACATAATATTATAAAACATTGTATATTATCTTTATTCTGCAGCATATTATTTGTTGTAAAAGTCGATGCATTTGTTCGCTACTATGGATTTTGTAATATTTATATTTTTTTGACCTTTTTTGTACTCTCTTTGTGCTTTTGTCTCTTTACATTTCTTTTAACTTGAAGTGACTTTCATTTTTAATTATTGTCATTTAAATGTTAAACAAGTAAAATATTCACGTATTTGTTAAATGTGCGTTAATTTGGTTTTGTTGGGCCGTTATTGCTAATGAAAGTATGTAACAACTTTTTCCTCCATCTTTTATTAATTATCTATAAGTTTTCAGTAGTTTTGTGTTTGGGAAAAATATGAAACTATTTCTTGTTTTGATATAGGTTGTTTGTACCATTTTAATCTTTTATAAAGTAGTTAAATTTTAGAGTATTTTCACTGCAAGGTACTAATCCGCATTATTATCTTCAATGTAGATGTTTGTTTTCTAGAAGCTATCTAAATTTCGGTTCGTGAAGATTTCAGGAAATGAAATTCACTTGCTACGCATTTGAAAACTTGTACAAGTCATTTTGTAGACTATAAAAGTTTTCAGATTTGCGCGCTATGTCAAGTCAAGTTCAGTGGCTACCATTGGAGTCAAATCCAACATTAATAACAGACGTGAGTTAATTTATTAATCCTCATAAGTGCTAATTGTGATTAATTTCGGTTATTTTAGCTATTTTTATTTGAATATTTCGTTTTTAGCCAGTGTCTGTATTACTGTAATTTCTGTTTTCTTTGTGAAACGGGCAAGTCAGTTGGTTGATGATTGGTATAATTTCCTTTCTGAGAATGAAAAATTTTTTTCAAATTCGATAATTATTGAGATATCGAAAGCTTTGTTCAGTTTTTGAAAATTTTCCAATCTCTTACTCATTATTTAAAAGTTTTAGTTAATGCACAGAATTGGTGTGGAAAAGGGGGTAGAATGTGTCGATGTTTATGGTTTTGAGGACGATGTATTGAGTTTCATCCCGCGACCTTGTTATGCCATCTTGTTGTGCTTCCCTGAAGTTGACAAGGTTAGAGTTCACTGTAATCTTTTGGTACTCTTATGTTACGTGTTTTCAGACTTCAAATCACTTGTTTTCTCGTTTAAGCTCATCAGATTCAATTTTTCTGATTGAAGTGTAATGTTTAGAGATTTTGTACATTGTCATTTTTTAAAATTAAGTAAACAAATTATTTCAGAATTGAAACTTCATGGCTTTGTTTTAGGTAAAGGAAATGATGCAACCTATTTATATGAAAATGAAAGAAGAAGGCAGTGTGATACCGGATGGACTCTTCTTCATGAAGCAAAAAATATCGAATGCTTGCGGAACTTTTGCTCTTATTCATTCGCTTGCAAATAATGATAAGCGCATTAATCTGGGTATGTTTTCTAAAGAAAATTTTTATTTTATGGTCATATGAATTTTTTTTAATTTCGTTTTTATTTATACAGTCGTTCTTCGTCTGTTTATGATTTTGCTTAATTTGCAAAAGAATTAAAAGTTTGGTTGATAGTACTTCAGTAATGCTCTTTACCGCATTTTGAAAATATTAATCGGTTAATACAGGATTGCCATAAGCTAAAATATCTGTCTTAAAAAATTACTTTATTAATAACTGTTTACATTGCATATTCATGACAAAGTATTTAAAGGAGATGGACCACTTAAGCAATGGTTAGATACAGCAATACCATTAAGTGTTGAAGAGCGATCTGACCTTTTGGCTGGAAATTCCATTCTTGCTGAGGCTCACGATAATTGTGCACGAAATGGCGATACTGATTCAAATGAAAGCGTTAGTCACCATTTCATCTGCTATGTAAACTACAAGGATTCACTCTATGAGCTCGGTAAGTTTTTTACTTATTTTCAAGGAGTAAAAGAACTATTTCATACTGGGTTTAAATAATTAATCATATAAAAATGTTATTAGGTGTTTGAAATTAAACAAGGTAAATTGAGTATTCATTTTGCATTAAATACTTTCGTGGATGGAAAAGGAATAGATAAAGGTTTTAAATATAATCGAGGCATGAAATTTACAGATTCTGGTGCTCCTTGCCCACGGTTATGTGGTCCGACTAGTGATGAAACATTTTTGAACGATGTCGGAAAAGCATGCAAAGTACTAATGGATCAGTTAATGAGTGCTTCATTCAGCGCTCTGGCCATCGTTCGTGCTTCTTAATAATGACTTGCTTTGAGTCCCATTCCATTCCACTTCATGAGCTACTGTGCTTGCTTTTTAATTTTTATGAGTTCATATTGTTATTTCTGCAAAGCTTTATTTCATTCCGATTTGTTTCCATTTATTTTAAAGTTTTCATGTTGTGACTAATCAGTCTTATGTAAAGCTTTTTGTATCTGAATATTTGGTTCAATCGGTGCTTATTTAGAACGGCTACAAATTTGGAAGTGTTAAAATACTTGCAGAGCTTGTAACCAAGTCGGGTTAATTTATCCTCTATCATTTCACCAATTGCTGCTTTGAAAAATGCGCTGTTCAAATTGTTATGTGTGATTTATATATGTCAAGGGGATAAGGTTTCAAAAGCGGGTTAGTACTTATAGCTGTTAGTAAAAGTGTTCTGGAATCCATCATCATACGGCATCCCTAGTAAAATGTATTGGGTTTCTTAAGATGACGAGGCAAATTTTCAAGATTCAGTTACATGAGGTATCGAAATGCGTTCCTGTTTTCAAACGTTTTCTAGAGAATGCGCAATTCTTATTCACCGATATTCAAAGTTGTATGTGGGTTCTTTTGCTATGCTTGATGTTTGTTTTGCGTTTTTTAAAATAAATGTCATTTCATCCTGGCGTTGAAGAAAGTTGACGTGCAGATAATCATAGAAGATATTTTCATGTGAAGCTTGAAATAAGCTTTAGTTATGTTTCCACCAGAAATCCAGGAAAGTAATTTATGGCTATTTGAACATTATTGAATTTCTATGTGGAAGGAGAGATGCACTTCTGTTTTAGAGAATCTTATACTGTTTAGTATGCGCCAACTCTATTATTACTAACTGTAAATAACGGCTCTTAACAAGACGAGCTTGGATTTCAAGCTTCTAGTAGGACTAATGGTAGTGGAAGAAGTGTAGGAGTGGCGTGGATCATTCTAATCCTTTACTGATCAAGACAAAAGAGATCATGTTATACCAGAGCAGGGTGTTTCTTACCTCTATTGAGTTGAGTAAAATTCCAAAAATCTAATCCTGCCTTCATTTATTGAATAATTATCGAGACTCAGCTTCTAATTTTGACAGCAATTTCAACTATTAGAGTAAGCAGAAGTTTTCATGCATTAGTACTCTGCACTGAGTGGAAAGTTCACTTGATTTTAGGAACAGTTATGTTTTACAAGAGTAAGTATTTAAGATAACTCAAATAATGTCAATATTTTCTTGCGATACTTTAATTAACAATCGCAATTGCAGATGAAAAATTCTGTAAAAAGCCATAAAGTTCAAAGGTTAACTTTACAATTAGCATATCTCTCACCATTACTTGAACTAAGGGCTATATATATCCTATGTCTCCGGTACTCTTGCTACTCTTTTGCGCTATTCTCAGTAAGATACGCATTTTTTGACTCAGGGCTCTATTTCTTTATCTATTGAATATTGTTTCCAAAAATGATCTATAGTATTAGCTGATAACATTTTTTTGGGTGAACGAATGTATGGAAGCATTTCAATGATGAACTCTCTTTACCCACTGAATTTCGCTTGCACATTACTTGTTTAATTTGTTTTGTCGATCAGTTCTTAACACAGTCTTGACGTAGATGACACCTGTACAACCGACCCATTCTTAATCTTTGCAAACATTTGCAAATTTAATTTTACATCAGCAGCCTCTTTTGACCTGAAAACATTACATATTCTTCGAAAAATCGTTTGAAGTGATAATTACGTGAAAAATATTATGCAAAAGTAGTAAACGAGTATTTTTGCTTAAAGAAGGCGTTACAGAAATAAATAGATATTGAATAAAAAATTTTCTGTCTTATTTCTGAAGCGTAAATCCCACCATGAACCTCGAGAAATACTGTAAAAAATTTTACATTACGTGCTTTAACTACTGTTTTCAACTGATTTTTATGGTAATCATCTGCATAAAATGAGCACAAAATAGCTGTACTGAATACTCTATTTATTTTTTTTACTGTAAATATTTAAAAAACTTGGTCAATTTCGTATTTTAGTACTCAAGCCATACTCTTTATTCTTTAATTCTATACTTCCTATTATTTTTTTTTCGTTAGACGACCGCTATAAAAAATTGAAGCTTTTCTTTTTTCAAGAAATCAAATTTAGAATTGAATGAAAAAATCAAATACTTGTAATATTTTACATAAAGTTTGTGCATATGTTGGAATATGCAAATTATCGTGTCTAGATTTCATGACCTCTGCCTGTCAGACACAATAAAAGCTAAATATTACAAGGATCAAATCCTGAGTGACAGTAATGGTGGAAGAATATTGTAGTGGTAATAAGGAATGCAAAAAATGAAATCAAACTGAAAACTATATAATAATAGCTCATTAGCATGCAATATGGTTTCATTTAATATGTTAAAATATAATTATTAGAAAATATTTACAAGTAGTGAGAACAGAAAAGCGAGTTTACAACAAAGAAAATGCATTAATTTAGGCACCATTTTTTTTTAGGTTAAAACTTTGGTTCATTGCACATAATTTTTAAATTCTTGATGAATTAAACGGTAATTCACTGCGAAAACTTGAATAATTGTGCGAGAAAGATAGAAAAAAAGGTATAAAATAAAAAATCACAATGCAAAAAAACCATCAATTAATTAACCAATCCACCGACCGACCTACTCATCTTCTCTAATTCAAATAGTATTTAAATTGTGCCAAAATATTTTCATAAAAAATTAATTAATTTAAGTTTTTAATCTTTGCTTATCTGTATATTTGTTGAAATATCTGTTTAATTGCCGCCTTAATTGGTCTTATTCCATTTCTAAGTCACTAGAAATTAGTTAATAAGTTTGACGTAAAATATTTGTAATATATATTACAATTGGTAATAAATTATTCTTATTGATTGAAATTATAAAAAAAATAACTTTTATAATATTTCTGGAATGCCGTTGATTTATAATTACAGAAAATTACACAAAACAATTGTAGTAAAGAGTTTAGCATTTTAATTCCTATTAATTTTATAATTTGATTGTTGATTAGTTGTAATGAGTAATTACATTGTCTTTCCAAAATGTCTTATCTATGAATTGGTATTTGCATAATTTAATATATATTTTAATCAAATTTTTTGTAATAATTATAAATCGAAGGAATTTCAGGGGTTTTATTAACTGCAATATATAAAATGAAACTTCGTGATACGCTGATTAATATGTTGGGTGAATTTATTGGTTTGCATAAAACACCTGATTTTAAACTGAATTTACAATCATCTCATGCTATCTTCGAAGCTGCCATTGCTGAAACAAAGAAATATTCCATGTCTGTCGACAGTGATATTGTTAGTTTTGAACTTCATCATCATTTTAGCTTACATGAAGAGTCTTTACGATTTAAAATGAATTTTAAAATCTAAACTTCTTTCTGAATTTTCAGAAACTTCAAATTTTTTCATGAATCTTCAACTCGAAATGAATAGACAACCGAGATATTTACGCTAATTTGCTTGATATTTAAGTTAGTGAATTAGCAAAATAGATTCATGGAAACAAGACTCAGAAAATTAATAAAATTATACATTTTTAATATCAGTTCTATACTATAGATATCCTATCTCAGTTGTATAATTCATTATCATTATGAATCACATTGCAGGATTATACAGTACATCGACGGGCTTACTCACTGGACGGAAACTATGATGGTGGTACGGTAAACATGGATCCATCATGTCGGCGTTCATCTGAATCCATGTCTTTTTCGTCATTTACACCATCTGGACGATGTCGACAACAACAATTACCAGCACATCCTCGTAATATCCTTGTTGTATTTCGCAGGCTTATTGCAAAATTTTAATTAAGTTTAAAATACTAATAATAATAAATCTTACAATACAAATAAAAACTGAATTGTAGCAAATTCTTTCTAAGTAAATTCTGCGCATGCCTCGTATTTCTTTTCAAAAGCTTAACAACACTAATTCAGAAAATTAGTCTAAAACTAATTTGTCAGCTGTGAACTCAAAGTCTGCAAAGTATTGTAACATCTATTGCATATGAATTCAATATTACAACACAACTGAATAAGCTTACAAGCTTACTTGACCTTTTTTACAAGTGATATTAGCAATTAATTACAGATTTCTGTTTAATCTCTCACACATTACTATATTTTACTTTGAAGACATTCTTTTTTTAAATTAAAGTTTGCTACAAAAATACTGAGTCAGAAATTTCAGGTCACTTATGGTTCCGAAATTTACAGTGATTAATACTTGTCTGTAGTTATTTAGTGTATAATCCTAGCAATTTTGAAAACTGAATAAAATTTTTATTAAAAATTTAAAATATGAAAAAAAATACTTTACTTAAATAAACAATACAGAATTGATTACTTCGATTGAATTGAGATATTTTGTTCAGATTAGAATTTAAAGCATTTATCTGAATGAAATGAAAATTTTTTCACTTGCAGAAAAGAAGAAAAGAGCACACATTCACAATTCATTGAATGCTTTCTTCAAAAATGGAAATTTTAAGAATAAAAGTGAAAATTTTAATAATTGTGGACGAACGCGACGACATACTCGACGAGGTTCAGAGACATTTTGCGGCTCAATTGCCGCGTACTCAAATAATCTTAGCACGATTAATACCAGACTATAGAGAACATATGTGAAGTATTAGGAGTTTTGGAGGGGTATTTTGCTAACATTCAAATTACTAATTAATCTTAACAATAATAGTATTCGCAAGGTAAGTCTTTTTTCGCAAAAGTGTAACACGTTTAAAAACGTTATCGTTAATTTTACAAAACTTCAAAATGTCAAAATCTCGTATGTTTTATTTTATCGTATAGAAACGTTTTACACTTTATTAAGGTTTGTAAACATATATCGTAGTTGTGCTGTAATTAATTGTGTGTGTGTTTCAGTAATTTTTATGAAAGTTAAACAGTTTTGAGCAGAACTTTCTCCGAGTAATCATCAGAAAATTTTTAAAATACAAAAAAGTTAAAAGTCCATAAATTAATGGACTTCTGGATGAGTTTGAAAATAAATCACTGTTATATTAATCTATATATATATATATATATATATAT